AATGTTGGATCTTACTGTCTGTATTATGTTGTGTTTGCTAATGTCCATGATGTTGGATCTTACTGTCTGTATTATGTTGTGTTTGCTAATGTCCATAATGTTGGATCTTACTGTCTGTATTATGTTGTGTTTGCTAATGTCCATGATGTTGGATCTTACTGTCTGTATTATGTTGTGTTTGCTAATGTCCATGATGTTGGATCTTACTGTCTGTATTATGTTGTGTTTGCTAATGTCCATGATGTTGGATCTTACTGTCTGTATTATGTTGTGTTTGCTAATGTCCATGATGTTGGATCTTACTGTCTGTATTATGTTGTGTTTGCTAATGTCCATGATGTTGGATCTTACTGTCTGTATTATGTTGTGTTTGCTAATGTCCATGATGTTGGATCTTACTGTCTGTATTATGTTGTGTTTGCTAATGTCCATGATGTTGGATCTTACTGTCTGTATTATGTTGTGTTTGCTAATGTCCATGATGTTGGATCTTACTGTCTGTATTATGTTGTGTTTTGCTAATGTCCATGATGTTGGATCTTACTGTCTGTATTATGTTGTGTTTGCTAATGTCCATGATGTTGGATCTTACTGTCTGTATTATGTTGTGTTTGCTAATGTCCATGATGTTGGATCTTACTGTCTGTATTATGTTGTGTTTGCTAATGTCCATGATGTTGGATCCTACTGTCTGTATTATGTTGTGTTTGCTAATGTCCATAATGTTGGATCTTACTGTGTGTATTATGTTGTGTTTGCTAATGTCCATAATGTTGGATCTTACTGTCTGTATTATGTTGTGTTTGCTAATGTCCATGATGTTGGATCTTACTGTCTGTATTATGTTGTGTTTGCTAATGTCCATGATGTTGGATCTTACTGTCTGTATTATGTTGTGTTTGCTAATGTCCATGATGTTGGATCTTACTGTCTGTATTATGTTGTGTTTGCTAATGTCTATGATGTTGGATCTTACTGTCTGTATTATGTTGTGTTTGCTAATGTCCATGATGTTGGATCTTACTGTCTGTATTATGTTGTGTTTGCTAATGTCCATGATGTTGGATCCTTCTGTCTGTATTATGTTGTGTTTGCTAATGTCCATGATGTTGGATCTTACTGTCTGTATTATGTTGTGTTTGCTAATGTCCATGATGTTGGATCTTACTGTCTGTATTATGTTGTGTTTGCTAATGTCCATGATGTTGGATCTTACTGTCTGTATTATGTTGTATTTGCTAATGTCCATGATGTTGGATCTTACTGTCTGTATTATGTTGTGATTGCTAATGTCCATGATGTTGGATCTTACTGTCTGTATTATGTTGTGTTTGCTAATGTCCATGATGTTGGATCTTACTGTCTGTATTATGTTGTGTTTGCTAATGTCTATGATGTTGGATCTTACTGTCTGTATTATGTTGTGTTTGCTAATGTCCATGATGTTGGATCTTACTGTCTGTATTATGTTGTGTTTGCTAATGTCCATGATGTTGGATCCTTCTGTCTGTATTATGTTGTGTTTGCTAATGTCCATGATGTTGGATCTTACTGTCTGTATTATGTTGTGTTTGCTAATGTCCATAATGTTGGATCTTACTGTCTGTATTTTGTTGTGTTTGCTAATGTCCATGATGTTGGATCTTACTGTCTGTATTATGTTGTGTTTGTCACATATGTTACTTAATGACTGTCACATACACCTCAAGTAACAATGTCTGTATTGTCTTCACCACATACAGGTACCAAAGAGAGGTGCAAAGTGTGCAGGTCGCAGTGCACTACACTAATGCTGGGAGGAAAAGTGAGTCTCAGACTGACATGTGACAAACATCTACACACAACCATCTCTCTCTCTGTGAGCTCTCAGACTGGCATGTGACAAACATCTACACACAACCATCTCTCTCTCTCTGTGAGCTCTGAGACTGACATGGGACAAACGTCTACACACAACTGTCTCTCTCTCTGTGAGCTCTCAGACTGACATGTGACAGACATCTACACACAACCATCTCTCTCTCTCTGTGAGTTTTCAGACTGACATGTGACAAACATCTACACACAACTGTCTCTCTCTCTGTGAGCTCTGAGACTGACATGGGACAAACATCTACACACAACCATCTCTGTCTCTCTCTGTGAGCTCTGAGACTGACGTGTGACAAACATCTACACACAACCATCTCTCTCTCTGTGAGCTCTCGAACTGACAAGTGACAATCATCTACACACAACTGTCTCTCTCTCTGTGAGCTCTCAGACTGACATGTGACAGACATCTACACACAACCATCTCTCTCTCTGTGAGCTCTCAAACTGACAGGTGACAGACATCTACACACAACTGTCTCTCTCTCTCTCTCTCTCTGTGAGCTCTGAGACTGACATGTGACAGACATCTACACACAACCATCTCTCTCTCTCTGTGAGCTCTCAGACTGGCATGTGACAAACATCTACACACAACCATCTCTCTCTCTGTGAGCTCTCAGACTGACATGTGACAAACATCTACACACAACTGTCTCTCTCTCTGTGAGCTCTGAGACTGACATGGGACAAACATCTACACACAACCATCTCTGTCTCTCTCTGTGAGCTCTGAGACTGACGTGTGACAAACATCTAAACACAACCATCTCTCTCTCTGTGAGCTCTCAGACTGACAAGTGACAAACATCTACACACAACTGTCTCTCTCTCTGTGAGCTCTCAGACTGACATGTGACAGACATCTACACACAACCATCTCTCTCTCTGTGAGCTCTCATACTGACAGGTGACAGACATCTACACACAACTGTCTCTCTCTCTCTCTCTCTCTGTGAGCTCTCAGACTGACATGTGACAGACATCTACACACAACCATCTCTCTCTCTGTGAACTCTCAGACTTACATATGACAAACATCTACACACAACTGTCTCTCTCTCTGTGAGCTCTCAGACTGACATGTGACAGACATCTACACACAACCATCTCTCTCTCTGTGAGCTCTCAGACTGATTAAACTACCAGAAACTGCTGTCATCAGCCACTGTACATTATTGATATACTGAGGAGGGGGATCTGTGCATGTATGGATTAAATAGTTTATTGTGCAGTGAGAATCATTAGCCTTGTTCTGATAAACTTATTTCTGTGTGATTCACAGATCCCCAAGGAAGTTGAGTCGTTGTTCTCTGACCCAGTGGATCTCCATCAGAAGTTGACCAAGCAGTTCTATCAGGTATCACAGACAAGTTAACACACAACTGTGATGCTTCTTAGGTAGCTCAGCCAACACACAACTGTGATGCTCCTCAGGTAGCACAGACAAGTTAACACACAACTGTAGACAAGTTAACACACAACTGTGATGCTCCTTAGGTATCACAGACAAGTTAACACACAACTGTGATGCTCCTCAGGTATCACAGACAAGTTAACACACAACTGTGATGCTCCTCAGGTAGCACAGACAAGTTAACACACAACTGTGATGCTCCTCAGATAGCACAGACAAGTTAACACACAACTGTCATGCTCCTTAGGTAGCACAGACAAGTTAACACACAACTGTGATGCTCCTCAGGTAACACAGACAAGTTAACACACAACTGTTATGCTCCTCAGGTAGCACAGACAAGTTAACACACAACTGTAATGCTCCTCAGGTAGCACAGACAACACACAACTGTGATGCTCCTTAGGTAGCACAGACAACACACAACTGTGATGCTCCTCAGGTAACACAGACAAGTTAACACACAGCTGTGATGCTTCTCAGGTAGCACAGACAAGTTAACACACAACTGTGATACTTCTTAGGTAGCATAGACTAGTTAACTTAAATGCTACTGTGAGTGCCGACCCTCGCTGTAGTCTGGCTAAGCCAGGAAATTTGTGATCTATGTCATGTGTGCAAGACTTCTTTCCAGATCTTCATATCTTCTACATGCTTGACTAGTAGACACAATGAAACACTTCAACGCACAGGACTAGTTAGTTTCCCAACACACAATCCTCAGTGAGAAAAGGAATGTTGTGGCTAGAGAGACCTCATCAGCAGATGACAACAGACAGACAATGATACATCAACTTACTGTGTTTCCCCGAAAATGAGTCCTACCCCCAAAATAAGGCCTAGTTCAGGTTGTCACCTAGAATGAGAGACTTGTTGCCACATGGCGTGTCAAAGTACATATACCACTAGTGTGCACTTGATAATAAACAAAGATGGATCATCATTCAAGGTATGTCACTCATTTGATAAACAAAACACACACAAAACCCTTTTAAGAAAAGCTTTATGTGGAATACTAGGGGGTAACCAAAGAAAGACACTGTACAAATATAATATTGCTAAACAAAACTGTGTTGTACATTGAGGCTGTTAGGAGACAGAGAACCCAAGTGAAATCTAATGTGATTTTATGAGAGGGGTCAGGGTCAGGTTGAATGGCCATGACATTGGTCACTGTTTCTACTTTGTTCTCTGTTGTCCATCAATTTCTATCTGTCCATCCCTTCTTTTCATGCTGTCATTTCTGTCTCTCCATGAATGTGACAGACTCTTCCTAATGAAAAGTGCTAGAGATTGCCTCACAGTGCAGACATTCTGCAGTCATGGTGAGGATCCACATGTGTGCACACAAGGTTTATGAATATTGTTCAGTGGCTTCTCGGCCTGAGATTTTCTCTAACCAGCCAGCAGCCTGTTGAGTGCTGTTGCCAGTTGCTAACTGCTGTGTCAATTTTCATGTCTGCCAGATGGCACATGTGCTCTGTGAATTGTTGGTCCTGTTCTGAGAAGGCTGGATGTGTGATCCACTACCCAGGGATCAGAGACTTGTTCGCTCTGTGTCTTTTGTTCTCTGAACACAATCAACAATATTAATCTTGTCAAGAAGTTTAAACTACTCTGAGATGTCTCATCTTTTGTTCATGGATGATTGCAGTTGTGGCAGGTTTGCCTCCTCCCTTATGTCAAATACTTATGTTACACTTTTTTGTAGACTCTGGAGTTTCAAAAGAGTCATCAGAGAAGACTTCTGAGGCGGTTTAAAGAGAAGGTGAGTGTTGCCACATTGTTGACTGACTAACTGGTTATAGTGATGTGTTAACCGACTGACTGGTTATATTGTAGATGGCTGATGATTATTTTAGTTTTGTTTATCATTGTTCTTCTTCTTGATCAGTTAGTTGAGTTGGGTGTTTGTTGTGTGATTTCTTATATCTTATCCCACACCAGCGACTTTTTCAAACCTCTTGATTCACTGGAATGTATTTAGTTCTTTCTCATAGCTTGTTTTGTGGTTTGATTCTCTTTTCTATCCAAGCAACAGTTTGTGAATGCTTGTACTTTGTTAATTAGTAATTTAGGGTTAGGGGGTTTGTTCCACATAGCAGTATCCATTTTATGCTGTAGTTTTTTTTTAATTTCACGAATGCTCCTTTGTAAACATTTCCTATGGCTTCTATAATATTCCTAAACTTTCTATGTACTGTCCTATCTTTGCCTGCATGACTGCTTAAAGAGATGTATGAGTACACATTGATGCGACCTCAAGGGAGAGTGGGCTTACCTTGTTTATTTTCATAATGTCTAGACTTTGTATAACCGCAGCGAACACACACTTGGTTTCTTTCATCTGCTGCACCATTCAGTTCACTAGTACATTTTACAGAGACCCCTGGGGGTCATTGCCAGAGCTATGGTGTTTGTGTTTTGTGCCGCTAGCCATCCTACAGAGAGTGCCCGAAACATATGGGATCAAACCTGGTGCACTGGATAGCCCACAACTAAAGCTCACCATTGAATGCAAGCTCACTGTCCTTGCGGGTCATACATTATATCACTGACATTTGTTTGTTGCAGCTGAAGGTGTTTGAGCTGCAGATTAATGAAGTCAGAGATGTGATCATGCAAGCTAAAGCCATGGAGAGGTGAGTTGCCTGACTCCTTTCCACATGTGAGGTCATCCTTCATGTAGAAGTTCTGTTTAGTTTGTATGGGATCACTTTCATGGCACTTGGCTGTCTTCATCAGTGCCTCAGTCTCCCTCCCCCCCCTTTTTCAAGTGGTCTCAAGGATAATCTTAGCACCGTACATGATCTCTCTAGCCCCAGTGAATCCTGTAGAAGGTGGTGCTGTGGAGGGAGGTGTCACACACTGAGGACTTCAGGTGGTGCTGTGGAGGGAGGTCTCACACACTGAGGACTTCAGGTGGTGCTGTGGAGGGAGGAGTCACACACTGAGGACTTCAGGTGGTGCTGTGGAGGGAGGTCTCACACACTGAGGACTTCAGGTGGTGCTGTGGAGGGAGGTCTCACACACTGAGGATTTCAGGTGGTGCTGTGGAGGGAGGTCTCAAACACTGAGGACTTCAGGTGGTGCTGTGGAGGGAGGAGTCACACACTGAGGACTTCAGGTGGTGCTGTGGAGGGAGGAGTCACACACTGAGGACTTCAGGTGGTGCTGTGGAGGGAGGTCTCACACACTGAGGACTTCAGGTGGTGCTGTGGAGGGAGGTCTCACACACTGAGGACTTCAGGTGGTGCTGTGGAGGGAGGTCTCACACACTGAGGACTTCAGGTGGTGCTGTGGAGGGAGGTCTCACACACTGAGGACTTCAGGTGGTGCTGTGGAGGGAGGTCTCACACACTGAGGACTTCAGGTGGTGCTGTGGAGGGAGGTCTCACACACTGAGGACTTCAGGTGGTGCTGTGGAGGGAGGTCTCACACACTGAGGACTTCAGGTGGTGCTGTGGAGGGAGGAGTCACACACTGAGGACTTCAGGTGGTGCTGTGGAGGGAGGTCTCACACACTGAGGACTTCAGGTGGTGCTGTGGAGGGAGGTCTCACACACTGAGGACTTCAGGTGGTGCTGTGGAGGGAGGAGTCACACACTGAGGACTTCAGGTGGTGCTGTGGAGGGAGGTCTCACACACTGAGGACTTCAGGTGGTGCTGTGGAGGGAGGTCTCACACACTGAGGACTTCAGGTGGTGCTGTGGAGGAAGGAGTCACACACTGAGGACTTCAGGTGGTGCTGTGGAGGGAGGTCTCAAACACTGAGGACTTCAGGTGGTGCTGTGGAGGGAGGAGTCACACACTGAGGACTTCAGGTGGTGCTGTGGAGGGAGGTCTCACACACTGAGGACTTCAGGTGGTGCTGTGGAGGGAGGTCTCACACACTGAGTACTTCAGGTGGTGCTGTGGAGGGAGGAGTCACACACTGAGGACTTCAGGTGGTGCTGTGGAGGGAGGTCTCACACACTGAGGACTTCAGGTGGTGCTGTGGAGGGAGGTCTCACACACTGAGGACTTCAGGTGGTGCTGTGGAGGGAGGTCTCACACACTGAGGACTTCAGGTGGTGCTGTGGAGGGAGGTCTCACACACTGAGGACTTCAGGTGGTGCTGTGGAGGGAGGTCTCACACACTGAGGACTTCAGGTGGTGCTGTGGAGGGAGGAGTCACACACTGAGGACTTCAGGTGGTGCTGTGGAGGGAGGTCTCACACACTGAGGACTTCAGGTGGTGCTGTGGAGGGAGGTCTCACACACTGAGGACTTCAGGTGGTGCTGTGGAGGGAGGAGTCACACACTGAGGACTTCAGGTGGTGCTGTGGAGGGAGGTCTCACACACTGAGGACTTCAGGTGGTGCTGTGGAGGGAGGTCTCACACACTGAGGACTTCAGGTGGTGCTGTGGAGGAAGGAGTCACACACTGAGGACTTCAGGTGGTGCTGTGGAGGGAGGTCTCAAACACTGAGGACTTCAGGTGGTGCTGTGGAGGGAGGTCTCAAACACTGAGGACTTCAGGTGGTGCTGTGGAGGGAGGAGTCACACACTGAGGACTTCAGGTGGTGCTGTGGAGGGAGGTCTCACACACTGAGGACTTCAGGTGGTGCTGTGGAGGGAGGTCTCACACACTGAGTACTTCAGGTGGTGCTGTGGAGGGAGGAGTCACACACTGAGGACTTCAGGTGGTGCTGTGGAGGGAGGTCTCACACACTGAGGACTTCAGGTGGTGCTGTGGAGGGAGGTCTCACACACTGAGGACTTCAGGTGGTGCTGTGGAGGAAGGAGTCACACACTGAGGACTTCAGGTGGTACTGTGGAGAGAGGTCTCACACACTGAGGACTTCAGGTGGTGCTGTGGAGGGAGGTCTCACACACTGAGTACTTCAGGTGGTGCTGTGGAGGGAGGTCTCACACACTGAGTACTTCAGGTGGTACTGTGGAGGGAGGTCTCACACACTGAGGACTTCAGGTGGTGCTGTGGAGGGAGGTCTCACACACTGAGGACTTCAGGTGGTGCTGTGGAGGGAGGTCTCACACACTGAGGACTTCAGGTGGTGCTGTGGAGGGAGGTCTCACACACTGAGGACTTCAGGTGGTGCTGTGGAGGGAGGTCTCACACACTGAGGACTTCAGGTGGTGCTGTGGAGGGAGGAGTCACACACTGAGGACTTCAGGTGGTGCTGTGGAGGGAGGTCTCACACACTGAGGACTTCAGGTGGTGCTGTGGAGGGAGGTCTCACACACTGAGGACTTCAGGTGGTGCTGTGGAGGAAGGAGTCACACACTGAGGACTTCAGGTGGTGCTGTGGAGGGAGGTCTCAAACACTGAGGACTTCAGGTGGTGCTGTGGAGGGAGGTCTCAAACACTGAGGACTTCAGGTGGTGCTGTGGAGGGAGGAGTCACACACTGAGGACTTCAGGTGGTGCTGTGGAGGGAGGTCTCACACACTGAGGACTTCAGGTGGTGCTGTGGAGGGAGGTCTCACACACTGAGTACTTCAGGTGGTGCTGTGGAGGGAGGAGTCACACACTGAGGACTTCAGGTGGTGCTGTGGAGGGAGGTCTCACACACTGAGGACTTCAGGTGGTGCTGTGGAGGGAGGTCTCACACACTGAGGACTTCAGGTGGTGCTGTGGAGGAAGGAGTCACACACTGAGGACTTCAGGTGGTACTGTGGAGAGAGGTCTCACACACTGAGGACTTCAGGTGGTGCTGTGGAGGGAGGTCTCACACACTGAGTACTTCAGGTGGTGCTGTGGAGGGAGGTCTCACACACTGAGTACTTCAGGTGGTACTGTGGAGGGAGGTCTCACACACTGAGGACTTCAGGTGGTGCTGTGGAGGGAGGTCTCACACACTGAGGACTTCAGGTGGTGCTGTGGAGGGAGGTCTCACACACTGAGGACTTCAGGTGGTGCTGTGGAGGGAGGTCTCACACACTGAGGACTTCAGGTGGTGCTGTGGAGGGAGGTGTCACACACTGAGGACTTCAGGTGGTGCTGTGGAGGGAGGAGTCACACACTGAGGACTTCAGGTGGTGCTGTGGAGGGAGGTCTCAAACACTGAGGACTTCAGGTGGTGCTGTGGAGGGAGGTCTCAAACACTGAGGACTTCAGGTGGTGCTGTGGAGGGAGGTCTCAAACACTGAGGATTTCAGGTGGTGCTGTGGAGGGAGGTCTCAAACACTGAGGACTTCACACATATTAGCTCTTGGTTACAGCATCTGTACTTTTGTTGATAACATCAGGTGGATGATGTGAGACAGAAATTAAGAGCAGAATTGGCCAGGTAAACAGCATTTCAGAAGATGACAAGTATCTTATGTAATAAATCACTCTCATGAAACATCAGAAAACATGTACTGAAATGTTATATTGAGCCTCTTCTGTAGTATGGAAGTGAATCTTGGAATGTGAGCAGACAAATGAAGAAGAGTTTGGAGGCAGATGTGCTGTGTTTTTTTAGAAGAATGTTGTAAATACCTTGGGTAGTCAGGATATCTAACAATATTACATAAAGAATAGCATAAACGTGCTGCTTGCAGAAAATTTGGAGTTAAAAATCTACCCAAAGTATTTCATGATCCTGGCCAGTGCTACGGAGGTCATGCACTTTGCTGAGGTTCTTCAGATTTAAGCTTGAGTTAGAAATAGAACAAAGCATTTATGGGTTACCACTTTTGTGCCATGATGTTGATCCGTCGTACTAACAAACAAACAAAACAAACTAGAACATTATATTCAACAATGAGAAGCTGACTAAAAAAGTTCTGTGGTCATGTGATGAGAAAAGGAGCACTGGAAAATATCGTGATGACTGGAAAGGTCACTGGTAGAAGAGGCAGAGGCAGACCAAGAGAAATGATGGTGGATGGCTTAGACTGGCATAAAGGAATATCATCAGTGGAATTGATTCAGAAGACCAAAGACTGAGATGTGTGGAGATGCATGAATGCCTACGCCAGCTGGCAGTTCACTTAATGATGACGACTATTGTTTAAGTGGGTGTCTGAGGCTTAGGTATTGTGAACATGCTTTATAATTCTGAAATACCCAGTTTGGTTCAGGCTGCAGGCAATTTAGCAGCAGACCACCTTGTGTCGATTTCAACAACTAAATGTAATCTGTACTTTTGACAAGCAATGGCAAACTACTGTATGTAACATTGCCTAGTGAAATCACAAACAGCCAAAACAATGCTGGAGTTGGTTGTGCAAATGTCCTGTGAAAGGTATGCAGCTGACTGAAATGTTGTTGATGTGTGCTGGGAAGATGTTCTTAGACCAGTTGCCCCAACAATGACTTAGCTGGCTGTGTTTAGATCTGCCTTACAGGGAGCTAGTACCACATGTGAGGTGGACCCTTGTCCGTGTGGCCCAACATTTCTCTCAGTCAAGAGTCCAGGTTATAGTTCAGTTTGTGGACCTGGTTGTGCGGTTTGGTTTTAAACTGATTAGTTTAACCTCAGAAATATCATCCTGTATGAGATCATCACTGGAGAAATCTGGCATGATGTATTTCCTGTGTTCAGTTAGTGCATTTGACTCCGAAGTGCCCCAGTAATTGGATATGGCACTTGGAGAATTCCTGGTATAGTATGTTGACTTGTACTGTAAGCTGGAGTGTCCCAGTGGTTGGATATAGCACTTGAAGAATTCCTGGTATAGTATGTTGACTTGTACTGTAAGCTGGAGTGTCCCAGTGGTTGGATATGGCACTTGAAGAATTCCTGGTTTAGTATGTTGACTTGTGCTGTAAGCTGTTATGTCCCAGTGGTTGGATATAGCACTTGGGGAATTTCTGGTTTAGTATGTTGACTTGTACTGTAAGCTGGAATGTCCCAGTGGTTGGATATGGCACTTGGGGAATTTCTGGTTTAGTATGATCACTTGTACTGTAAGCTGGAATGTCCCAGTGGTTGGATAAAGCACTTGGAGAATTTCTGGTTTAGTATGTTGACTTGTACTGTAAGCTGGAATGTCCCAGTGGTTGGATATAGCACTTGGAGAATTTCTGGTTTAGTATGTTGACTTGTACTGTAAGCTGGAATGTCCCGGTGGTTGGATATGGCACTTGGAGAATTTCTGGTTTAGTTTGTTGACTTGTACTGTAAGCTGGAGTTGATGGCTGCTAAGCATTGCCTTGTCTTTCCTCATGTTATCTAGGGAGTACATCAAAGTCAAGGCAGAAAATGATTACCTGAAGCTGCTGTTGTCAAAGAAGGTCAGTGATACACCTGGAGACCAGTGATGAATGGACTGCTAGAGAGAGAGAGATAGAGAGAGAGAGAGAGAGAGAGAGAGAGAGAGAGAGAGAGAGAGAGAGAGAAAGGATTTTGTTAAACAACCTAACATTACATATGACTGCAGCTAGAGAGCCAGCAGCCTGTAAATGCAGCAGGAGAATGTATGTGATCACCTAACACTTGTCACCTGGTGTCTTGTTTGTCCTTGACTGGTTCCATTATCTGAAGACATAAAGCATGTCTGCATGTCTGCATGTGTGTGTGTTTGTCTGCGTGTATATGAGTAGCATGTAGACTTTCAGTACTTCATCTATTTAATTTAACTTTGTCGCCCTTAGAAAGCTGTTCTCCAACATGTACGGGTTTTTGTTATGAACTTATGTGGGCGGTGGTTAGTAAACCTGTTAGCTTGGGTACTGGTTGTAACTGCATAGTGTCTAGACATGGTGACTACGATCATATATACCATACTCCCCCTCCCCCATTATTCAGATATTGTTAGGGGAGCAATATTTGCATTTTTAAAATTATGACATCATCGTTAAGTCATAATAATCTCATACTGAGATCACTTTGCTTCTGAGGCTAAGTTAACTTCTCATTTGTTAGTGTTCACAGGCCATAAACTCTGGAAAAAAATTCTGGTTGTTCATCCGCTTCTGGACTTTGGTCCTATTGCAGAACTTGAGTCTTGCCTGCACATCCATCCAACAGTTTGGGCTTATTTGTCAACACATAGTTAGTTGCTTCCCTCTCAAGCAGAAGCACTGTGACTGTAAAGAAAACAGCCTTAATTAGTCCAGTTGTCAGACACGCTTGCTGGCAGAGAGTCTCTTTTTGTCTCCAGCCTTCCCCCACAGTTGTCAGACACGCTTGCTGGCAGAGAGTCTCTTTTTGTCTCCAGCCTTCCCCCACAGTTGTCAGACACGCTTGCTGGCAGAGAGTCTCTTTTTGTCTCCAGCCTTCCCCCACAGTTGTCAGACACGCTTGCTGGCAGAGAGTCTCTTTTTGTCTCCAGCCTTCCCCCACAGTTGTCAGACACGCTTGCTGGCAGAGAGTCTCTTTTTGTCTCCAGCCTTCCCCCACAGTTGTCAGACATGCTTGCTGGCAGAGAGTCTCTTTTTGTCTCCAGCCTTCCCCCACAGTTGTCAGACACGCTTGCTGGCAGAGAGTCTCTTTTTGTCTCCAGCCTTCCCCCACAGTTGTCAGAAACGCTTGCTGGCAGAGAGTCTCTTTTTGTCTCCAGCCTTCCCCCACAGTTGTCAGACACGCTTGCTGGCAGAGAGTCTCTTTTTGTCTCCAGCCTTCCCCCACAGTTGTCAGACACGCTTGCTGGCAGAGAGTCTCTTTTTGTCTCCAGCCTTCCCCCACAGTTGTCAGACACGCTTGCTGGCAGAGAGTCTCTTTTTGTCTCCAGCCTTCCCCCACAGTTGTCAGACACGCTTGCTGGCAGAGAGTCTCTTTTTGTCTCCAGCCTTCCCCCACAGTTGTCAGACACGCTTGCTGGCAGAGAGTCTCTTTTTGTCTCCAGCCTTCCCCCACAGTTGTCAGACACGCTTGCTGGCAGAGAGTCTCTTTTTGTCTCCAGCCTTGCCCCACAGTTGTCAGACACGCTTGCTGGCAGGCAGAGAGTCTCTTTTTGTCTCCAGCCTTCCCCCACAGTTGTCAGACACGCTTGCTGGCAGAGAGTCTCTTTTTGTCTCCAGCCTTCCCCCACAGTTGTCAGACACGCTTGCTGGCAGAGAGTCTCTTTTTGTCTCCAGCCTTCCCCCACAGTTGTCAGACACGCTTGCTGGCAGGCAGAGAGTCTCTTTTTGTCTCCAGCCTTCCCCCACAGTTGTCAGACACGCTTGCTGGCAGAGAGTCTCTTTTTGTCTCCAGCCTTCCCCCACAGTTGTCAGACACGCTTGCTGGCAGGCAGAGAGTCTCTTTTTGTCTCCAGCCTTCCCCCATCCCCCTAAAATGGGACCTTAAATTAACAAAACCATCCGTTTTGTTATCATAGGGAGAGAAAGCAGTTGATTCCGTGCTCAGCTTGTATTTCGTGATTATTTCCCTTAACACATGTTTTTTTTTTAAACACACGCACACATGCTCGCACACACACACACATGCACGCAAAATAAAAAAGACATTAAAAAAAAACCTTAATTTTAAAGATTCTTGTGGGGGGAAAAAGTTGATTAGCAAGATTCAGCATGTGATCAGTAAGGCTGAAGAGGCTGTAAGTGAAATTAGTGAGGGACTCTCTTACTGCCCTGAAGTATGTTGAATGTATGATGCTAGTCTGACTGCTACTTCAATATAAAGATGTGTGCAAGTAGGGCATAAAAGATACAGGTATTGTGGTGGACTCATTAGTAGAAATACCATGGACCGTGTGGTTTGAAGTAGACACACCAGGAAGGGAATGAGAATGAAGGAAGAAATGATTGCAGAAAGACTGAGTGCTGAGCATCTGAGAAGAAACACAGTAAACACAAATGTTGACAACTACGATCCTGAAATCACATGCTATCATTGTGAAAGACTTTTCTTAATGCAGGTCTTGCTAGTCACAGTCGCCCTCGCCAAGGGCTATGTCCCATGCCTCCCCATAGCCCAGTATAACACTATCATCTGGACAGAAGGAAAGGTGTCAATTCATCAGCCCTCAACATAGAGCTGCTGCCTTTACTTTCCTGGACATGTCCAGGTATCACTCAGTCGGTAGTTAAAGCAAATATGTTTAAAGAGAGAACTGTATCTGAAAAATGTCTACCTCTTCTACTGCACTCAGTGTTTTCTAAACACTAGATGTTGTTGATGAATTGATTGAACAAATATGATCAGAGAACCAACAAAACACAGAGCTCATGAACATGGCTAGCCACGACTAGCAGCTCTTCTTGACTGACCCTACATTGGGGCTCTCTGGTGTGCAAAAGTGCAGTTAGGGAAGAGAGAGAGAGAGAGAGAGAGAGAGAGAGAGAGAGAGAGAGAGAGAGAGAGAGAGAGAGAGAGAGAGCTAAGAAGTTGGCAGACAACCACTGTAACATGGGGTACATACAGTTATCCTGCAAACACTTGTACATCTGTTGAGAGGGAATCAGTTAACAGTGTCTCCCACTTGAGACACTGACATCCATTCTGCTGATCAAATACATATTTTATACCTTTGTTCTCTTTTCATAAAGCAAAGGACCCTTTTCCGCACCTTCGGTCATATTGGGCATATAGGGCTAGTTTGTATTTTAAAGAATCAATTGGCACTCGTTGGTTGATGTGGTCAACATAACCCTGGCCACCTTTACTTCCCAGGACTTTATTTTACCCATTTTAGGCTGGGTTGATCAGCAACCTAGCTGCTGTCATTTTTAAAAAAGTCAGGGCCTGAACCCCTGACCTTCTGATCCACAGGCAAGTGACTAGCAGCTACACCACAGTGCCTGCCTATTCTCTTCAAAACCTACACAATTTAAACAAGCGTTTGTTAACCTGGTTCCATTGACAATCACACTCAGTGACCTCATGTTGTTCTGCCTGTAAACATCCAAGTGAAATATGGGCAGCCACCAGAAAGAGGCTTCTTGTGTCATTGGTATATTTATCTGATGTAGTTTGAGTGTAACACTGTTTCATTTCACTGTTTGCTGTTGTTGGTAGTGACTTGATTGCCCTCATTGTCTGATTACAGGAGCTTGTTATTGTCTCTGCCATGTTGTTGGTAGTGATTTGATTGCCCTCATTGTCTGTTTACAGGTGTGTGTTATTGTCTCTGCCATGTTGTTGGTAGTGATTTGATTGCCCTCATTGTCTGATTACAGGAGCTTGTTATTGTCTCTGCCATGTTGTTGGTAGTGATTTGATTGCCCTCATTGTCTGTTTACAGGTGTGTGTTATTGTCTCTGCCATGTTGTTGGTAGTGACTTGATTGTTCTTATTGTCTGATTACAGGTGCGTGTTATTGTCTCTGCCATGTTGTTGGTAGTGATTTGATTGCTCTCATTGTCTGTTTACTGGTGCGAGTTATTGTCTCTGCCATGTTGTTGGTAGTAATTTGATTGTTCTCATTGTCTGTTTACTGGTGTGTGTTATTGTCTCTGCCATGTTGTTGGTAGTGATTTGATTGTTCTCATTGTCTGATTACAGGTGTGTGTTATTGTCTCTGCCATGTTGTTGATAGTGACTTGATTGTTCTCATTGTCTGTTTACTGGTGCGTGTTATTGTCTCTGCCATGTTGTTGGTAGTGACTTGATTGCCCTCATTGTCTGTTTACTGGTGCGTGTTATTGTCTCTGCCATGTTGTTGGTAGTGATTTGATTGTTCTCATTGTCTGTTTACTGGTGCGTGTTATTGTCTCTGCCATGTTGTTGATAGTGACTTGATTGTTCTCATTGTCTGTTTACTGGTGTGTGTTATTGTCTCTGCCATGTTGTTGGTAGTGACTTGATTGCCCTCATTGTCTGTTTACTGGTGCGTGTTATTGTCTCTGCCATGTTGTTGGTAGTGACTTGATTGCCCTCATTGTCTGATTACAGGTGTGTGTTATTGTCTCTGCCATGTTGTTGGTAGTGATTTGATTGTTCTCATTGTCTGTTTACTGGTGCGTGTTATTGTCTCTGCCATGTTGTTGGTAGTGACTTGATTGCCCTCATTGTCTGTTTACTGGTGCGTGTTATTGTCTCTGCCATGTTGTTGGTAGTGATTTGATTGTTCTCATTGTCTGATTACAGGTGTGTGTTATTGTCTCTGCAATGTTGTTGGTAGTGACTTGATTGCCCTCATTGTCTGATGGTGTGCGTACAGGTTGTGTAGTGATTTGATTGTCTCTGCCATGTGTGTGTGGTATGTGATTTTGATTGCCCTCATTGTCTGATTACAGGTGTGTGTTATTGTCTCTGCCATGTTTTTGGTAGTGATTTGATTGCCCTCATTGTCTGATTACAGGTGTGTGTTATTGTCTCTGCCATGTTGTTGTTTGTTTGCATTCACCGGCTGACAACCCTGGTGGAAAGATCTGGTTATTCATCCATTTCTGGACTTTGATTTTCTTCCAGGAATTGAGTTTTGTGTGTGCATCCATTTTACAGATCTTGCTTATTTCTATGCAGACTCTTGGTTTCTTGCCTCTCAGGCAGATGCAGTCAGGCTTTGAAGGAAGCCTCCAATAAGTCAACTCTTACAACAAGCTTGTTGAGGAGGCAGGGGGTTTGTTCTTGTTGTCCCCACAATGGGACCCCGGGACCCGGGAACCCACACAGGGAATCTCTGCCATGACTCTTGATGGGGACATGGGATGGGATTGTCCAGGGTGTTCTTGATGTTACATTTCTCTACTCCTTGTTTTGAATACATCCAACATGTCATGCAGTATCAGATCTGTGTCTTTGAATACATCCAACATGTCATGCAGTATCAGATCTGTGTCTTTGAATACATCCAACATGTCATGCAGTATCAGATCTGTGTCTTTGAATACATCCAACATGTCATGCAGTATCAGATCTGTGTCTTTGAATACATCCAACATGTCATGCAGTATCAAATCTGTGTCTTTGAATACATCCAACATGTCATGCAGTATCAGATCTGTGGTCATATTGTGTGCATTTTTTCTCACAGGATGTCCACGCCAGGTGAACATAGTTGTTCTGTAGGTTACTGTTGACTGCAGCTGTTTCTGTGTTTGTTTTCTCTGATCCTGGCAAGTGGTGTCTTCAAGGAGATGTCAGAATGACAGACAGAATTGTCAGATGTTATGTACACTTAGTTCTGTGTGGCGGATGAGCCTGGACAATAAGCAAGTGACTAAACAATCAAATGCAGTCTATGCAGAAGTGGAAATATGGACAAACAGGTGATTTCAGGAAATAAAAACAATCAAATACCAAGACTGGAGAGGAAAAAAAAGGTGCTGAAAGAAATTGAAAAGAAGGAAGTGAAAAATTCTGACCTCATGGAAAACTTATGAAAACATGCTGAATGAGATGTTAAAAGTGGCAGAGCAAAATGGTTAACAGTGATTCAAGTGGGAGGACAACATCAAGATACGGACAAACAGCAGTCTTAACTCTTTGAGTCCCAGGAAATTCATCATACGTTCATAGGTTCTTACCTAGAAGCCCAATGAACGCATGATGTGTCAATTTTAGTCTCTCTTTACTACCCATTGTGCCTGTGATGCTAAACCCCCTGGGACTCAAAGAGTTAAAGATTGTACAACCAAAACAAGAGACAGAGCATTTTGAAGACCCTTTGCAGCCAACCTTCATTGTGGAGACAGCACCTAATTGACTGATTTTGTGTTGGCAGTTATTTGATGCTGTTCCGCTGTTTTTATGTGATGTTTTTGTTTGATAGTTTCCTGTTGGAATTTGATTTTGAGTTTGTTGCTGCTGCTGCTGCAGAATCTGTAGTTGAAACCTGCATGTTTGTTAGTGTTTTATTATCTGTGCATGTGTGCCTGTACACACACACACACACACACACATATATATATATATATATATATATATATATATATATATATATATATATATATATATATATATATATATGTATATATATATATATATATATATATGTGTGTGTGTGTGTGTGTATGTGTGTGTGAGTGAGTGTGTGTGTTTGAGAAAGAAAGGGAGAGAGGAGGGGTATCTGTTCATGACCACATGTGGGGGTGTATGTACAAGTTGTAGGCATGCTTGCGTCCCACGTGTGGGAGTGTATGTACATGTTGCAGACATGCTTGTGTCCCACATGTGGGGGTGTATGTACATGTTGTAGGCATGCTTGTGTCCCACATGTAGGGGTGTATGTACATGTTGTAGGCATGCTTGTGTGCCACATGTGGTAGTGTATGTACATGTTGTAGGCATGCTTGTGTCCCACATGTAGGGGTGTATGTACATGTTGTAGGCATGCTTGTGTCCCACATGTGGTAGTGTATGTACATGTTGTAGACATGCTTGTGTCCCACATGTGGGGGTGTATGTACATGTTGTAGGCATGCTTGTGTGCCACATGTGGGGGTGTATGTACATGTTGTAGACATGCTTGTGTGCCACATGTGGGGGTGTATGTACATGCTGTAGACATGCTTGTGTCCCACATGTGGTAGTGTATGTGCATGTTGTAGGCATGCTTTCCACATGTGGGGAGTGTATGTACATGTTGTAGGCATGCTTGCGTCCCACATGTGGGGGTGTATGTACATGTTGTAGACATGCTTGTGTCCCACATGTGGTAGTGTATGTACATGTTGTAGGCATGCTTTCCACATGTGGGGAGTGTATGTACAAGTTGTAGGCATGCTTGCGTCCCACATGTGGGGTGTGTGTACATGTTGTAGACATGCTTGTGTCCCACATGTGGTAGTGTATGTACATGTTGTAGGCATGCTTTCCACATGTGGGGAGTGTATGTACATGTTGTAGGCATGTTTGTGTCCCACATGTGGGGGGTGTATGTACATGTTGTAGGCATGCTTGTGTCCCACATGTGGGGAGTGTATGTGCATGTTGTAGACATGCTTGTGTCCCACATGTGGGGGGTGTATGTACATGTTGTAGACATGCTTGTGTCTCACATGTAGGGGTGTATGTACATGTTGTAGGCATGCTTGTGTCTCACATGTGGGAGTGTATGTGCATGTTGTAGACATGCTTGTGTCCCACATGTGGGGGGTGTATGTACATGTTGTAGGCATGCTTGTGTCTCACATGTGGTAGTGTATGTACATGTTGTAGACATGCTTGTGTCCCACATGTGGTAGTGTATGTACATGTTGTAGACATGCTTGTGTCCCACATGTGGGGGTGTATGTACATGTTGTAGGCATGCTTGTGTGCCACATGTGGGGGTGTATGTACATGTTGTAGGCATGCTTGTGTATGTACATGTTGTAGACATGCTTGTGTCCCACATGTGGTAGTGTATGTACATGTTGTAGGCATGCTTGTGTCTCACATGTGGGAGTGTATGTACATGTTGTAGGCATGCTTGTGTCTCACATGTGGTAGTGTATGTACATGTTGTAGGCATGCTTGTGTCCCACAT